TTCACTAACCATCAATATTCAGCATCATCTTCCACTGTGACGGTCGCACACTCTGATGAAAGCCAAACCAAACCTCACGCCCACTTTCTAGTGGGTGGTAATAGCCATCTGGAGGAGAAAAGAAAGATCTCCCCACAGGGGTATACTTCATGGATGGCAAGTGGCGCAACACAACATCCAGAGCCTGGATGGTCTCAAACGGAATCTGATTGTGTTTTCCTTCTAATGCTTGTTCCAGGGCAAACAAGCTTACTTGTGCGACCCATTTGACTGTCACCTTAAAAGAAAATAGTTCAAGAAAAATTAAAAAAATAATAATTTAAGACAAATTAATGTTATAAAATACAGATAGGGGGAGAGGCCACAACAAGTAGCCTCCTAAGCTAGCACCCTGTGTGCTTTTCATGCAATCTTCCTCCCCCACGGAGAGCTGCTGAAACAAACAGCTCATTTATTCCCTTTGTTTATCAATATTATCTCTACATTTAATTTAGCATTTTAGTTTGGTAAGTTTTTAATATAGTTAAGTCTTTCTAGGATTTGATTGTGACTAGTTTTACATTTTGACTCTATTTAACAATTAGACCCGCAGCCCGCAAGGGCTACAGGTCAATAACCCATGAGGCGAAGCCGAATGGGCTATTGACCCGTGGCCCTTGAGGGCGATGGGTCTAATTGTTTTAGTATCACTCAACTAGTAGGACAGAAAAGGCAATAATAAAGTTAGCAAATGCAAGTTGAAGAAATATTTATTTGGTAATAAAACGAAAGAGAGCGTCACGCTTGATTGCGCCAATTTCGCTACTCGAGGACTATTACTAATAGTCCTCTAGTAGCGTAGCCAATTAAAATGCAGGATTTGCATTAGTCCACTGGTTAGGTGATACTAATAGAAGGTAGACTGTAGCTAAAAACTGAAGCGAGAAAAAATATTTTTTGAGGTTCATCAGGTAGGATAAATGTCATATACAGTATATGCCCAACCTCCAACCCTGATACTTGCAAAGTCCTCTTCAAGTTCACTTGTTGTGTAGCCTCCTATACAGATGTTCTTTGGGTTTGTCATGCTATCTTCCCCATGAACGTCTGTCTAATCGCAATGCACTTCCTGATCAAGGCAGGGAACTTTGGAGCCAAAGGAATCATGCATTTCAAGTAATATGCATGTTATATCCAGTTGACAATAATAATAATAATAATACATGTATCAACAACAACAACAACAACGACAATACTAATAATAATTGTATCTATAACAAAATTCTCGATCATGATTGGTTCTCTGCACGTCTATTTGCCCCGTAACTATTTGCCTATTTGTCCTCAGTAACTACTGTAAATTAGTATCACCCAACTAGTGGACTAATGTAAATCCTGCATTTTAATGGCTATGCTACTAGAGGACTATTAGTAATAGTCCTCGAGTAGCAAAATTGGCGCCATCAAGCGTGACGCTTTCTTTCGTTTTATACCCAAATAAATATTTCTTCAACTTACATTTGCTAACTTTATCATTACCTTTTCTGTCTGACTAGTTGGGTGATACTAAAACAATTAGACCCTTCGCCCTCAAGGGCCACGGGTCAATAGCCCATTCGGCTTCGCCTCATGGACTATTGACCCGTAGCCCTTGCAGGCTACGGGTCAAATTGTTAATTATGCATCTAACAATGATTCTAACTTACTTTGAATGTCTTGTCTTTGCTGTTTTCAGTTGGAAGTGTC